TTTCACATCTCCTAACTAAAAAGACCCATAATCACCAAGCGGTTCCTCTTGCCAAAACCTAACAGGCAAGGTAAGCAATCTGAAGCAGCAAGACAATCTTTCTAATATTCTGTTGTTCTATATGTTGATGACTTCTTCGTAGGGAAAAAGTAAACAAAAACTAATAAAACATGTACATAGTCACCCCCCAAAAAAAAAGGAAAGGGTAAGAACAACAACAAACAAAATGTTGAAAAGGTCTAAAAACAGGCATTTAACAATTTTGAATGTTTCTTTCTCATTAAAAATGTGTCAGTCAACAAAATGAAATAAATCTACTCGACCCACAAATACGTGTGATGTGTGTGTAAAGCACAGGGCTATAGAGAGCTGAGGCACAACAGAAAATTAAGTTGTCATGGAGCAGCTTCAGATCGAGTCTCAGATTCAATTAGTTTACCGGTGAACAGAACAAGGATTTCTTTTATTTTTTCTTCTTTTTTTGTCGGATGCAAGAACTATTAGTTCGGAAGGAACTTCTACGGAGATGAAATCTTTCTTTGTAGCAATGTCCGAGTCACAAAAGAAAAAGAAAATGAAAAGAATCAACTAAGTTCAATTTATGTTTCTTCGTAGCAATCAAGAATTAGTTTATTCTCCTACCTACCTACAGATGTCCGAGTGGAAAAGAGACGATCAAGAATCAACTAGTTTCTTCGTAGCAATGGCCAAGGAAAGCAATCAAGAAGCAACTAATTCAGCTCATTTCCTAAATCCTATATCCTAAATCTTCTTGTAATTTCTTTTCCATCCTTCGTCTCTTCTTTCCGGATCCGTCCTTCTCTTTTCTATCTTTTTCGGATCATCGCAACTCCTGACCGTTTCTTGATTCTTGACATGATCCTCAGACACATGACACTCCCCATCCCAGTTCGATCCGAAGATCCCCGCCATCTCGGTAGGAACCTTCCCCGCGCCGACCATCCAAAGGCTCGATCAAGAAACAAGCCTCGGGACGATCGACGCGAAGTCGCACGCCTCGCTGCTACAAGAAGGAGAGGTGGGGTGTAGGGCGAACCTGTTTGCCCATCTTGAGGATGACATAGGGGTCGCTGCTCCGCAAGTCTCGTACGGCGAGGTTCACACCCCGCAGCACCCGCACCTTGAGCAGCCCCAGCATGTGCTCTCCACCGCCGATCCCTCAACCTCTCCCGCCCCCCACCGTCGTCCGCTCTCCTCCCGCGCAGCAGAATGCGACGAAACGGCATTCACGGAGTAAAAGAGCCGGCGCGGACTGCCCCACCGCCGACCTTGGCTCGGCCGTACCAACTTTCTCTATTATTATTATTATTATTATTATTATACTATATAACAGTTTCGTGTTGAGATGACCTTTGCGTTATTTTCTATTTTCACGCTTATTTTTATTTTATTTTATTTTATGAACGTAAACTTGATGTGAGACTTCCAATTTATCCCCCAAAAAAAATCTTGAATTATTTATACGATCGAGTATTCTATTATTTCTATGGATTTAATATTAGATAGATAGGAAAAGAAGTTCAAATGGAAACAATATGAGTTCTTAATATCACAATATTAATCTACAATAAGTTTGATATATATATAAATATATAATAATAATAATAATTGACTGAATAATTTGTCTAAAATCTAAATACACTTATCATTTAAAATCATTTTTAATATGAAACAAAATCGAGATGTTATGGAATGAATCAAAATATTAGCCAACATCGTGATTGACCAGCAATTTCCACTCCCTCGACGAACGGATGCAATCGACGTCGAGGATCGAAAGCAATGCAAGAGGACGACGGTGGTATTTGGGTGCACAGAATCGATTGGATGACACCCCCCCATGGAGTTTGTGTGGATCGCATGGACTGGCCTTTTTCCATACGCTTCGGAGGAGAAAAATGTTTGAATCGATCAAGAGAGAGTCGTCTCAATTTGTTTTTATCTATCTGCAGACCTTAAGGTAGAGAGAGAGAGAGAGAGAGAGAAGAAGAAGAAAAAACCTACAACATGACTGAACCTTTAATACTCGGAAGAAGTGAAAGATGTTATGTCATCACTCGACGATCCAAGCTTAGGTATCCAAGGAGGCTGATAGAAATGGTGAAGCTAAGCTGGAGGAGGAGGAACGAACCTGGTTGCCCATTCTGAGGATGACATAGGGGTCGCTGCTTATGAAGTCACGGACGGCGAGGTTAACCCCTCGCTGCACTCGAACCCTCAGGAGACCCAGCAAGTGGTCCGCCATCTCTCCCCTCAGCTTCACCACCACAGGGGGAAGAATGATGCAACAGTGGGGAAGGAGTCTCTCAGAGATAGATAGATAGATAGAGAGAGAGAGAGAGATTGCACCAGTTGTGCTTCCCGTGGGAGTATCAACCGGTTGTATAGCTGAGGTAAGGAGGAGAGGAATAAACGAGAGAGACATCGTAGCACATAAAAAAGCACAGGGGTTGTGATACAAAGGCAATAATAATAAAGATGACTTACGCTCGGCAGGATTCCAACTACCTTTACATTAAAAATAACTGTAAGATTCCAACTACTACTAATAATAATAATCTCATAAAACAATACAAAGATTGAATTTTTGTTATTTGTCTGATTCATCTCTATTCGATAAGAATATTATTTTGACGACTTCAATTGTGATCGCAGAGAAATAATGTTATTACAACATCGACTTGCCCCCTTAAAATAAGATTCCAACGGGGGTGACATGAAAGAAAGAAAAAGACCGTAAGGTTGGAAACCAAGTCTTTGCTTCACCATTTATACATAGAAAATAGACTGATGAGGACAAGATGGATTGTAGCTAAGAATTGGTCAAAGAACACCGTGTGTTGGGTGATGCCAATAGGGACACTTGTACTACTACGACAAAGACCAGCATTTGTTGTTTTCTCTCTTTCCTGAAGACTATTTGAATTCATGAAGAGAGAGAGAGAGAAGAAGATACTGACAGCCGTAAAGAAGAAGAAAAAGAAATCCCTGTTGACTAGTATTCTTATCTTCAACAACAGGACTGGATGTTTGAATCTTTATTAAGAATAATGACTAATAAGATGTTGGAAGAATTCAATTTGTTCTCACTTTTCACCCACTTGTGCTTGTGGGAGAAAATCATATTCGGGTTTAGAACATTACCACTGCCTTTTTTTTTTTACTCACAAATTCCTTATGCATGCTTAGAACATTGATGATGATGATTATGATAAGAAGATTTGATTCATCCCACATGTATCCGTCGTGGTTATTCTATTTTTCTATACTATTTAAACTTGTATGTAATCATAGAGAGTCGAAATATTCTACATAATATAAATATTTTATTAAAAATTTTGATTTTCTATATTCTTTAGACTTGTATGTAATTATTGAGAGTCGAAATATTCTACATAACATATATATTTCACTAAAAAGTTTTATTTTAGTTCAAAATAATCAATATGTAGAATCAGAACAAGTGATTGCTGAGATTCGTGCTGGAACGTCCACTTTCCATTTTAAAGATAATGTACGAAAATATATTTATTCTGAATCGAAGGGAGAATTCATCTATTATAAAAAATATGATAGTATTCTTCTATTATAAAAAAATGTCATTTATGGATATTTGCGAGAGATCCGTGCAGATCCAGTATAGTGTCTTTTTCGCTCCACAAGGATCAAGATCAAATGAATGTTTATTCTTTTTCTGTCGAAGAAATAACTAATGTCCATTGTTGGATAATTATAGTAAAAAAATAAGAAAATTATTGACTATTCAATAAGACATGATAAAACGATATCTAATGGTCATTTGAATTTCATATATCCTTCTATTATCCAAGGGAATTCTTATTTCTTGGCGAAAAAGTAAAGAAATAGATTCATCACCCCATTACAATATGATGAGAGAAAGAACTAATACCTTATTTTAGTATTACGATCGAAATACCAAAACAGGGTATTTTACGTAGAAATAGTATTCTTGCTTATTTTGATGATCCACGATATAGAAAAAACAATTCAAGAATTACTAAATATAGGACTGTAGAGATCAATTCAATCATAAAAAAAGATGATTTGATTGAGTATTGAGGATCAAAAGAATTTTGTCCTAAATACCAAATGAAAGTAGATCGGTTTTTTTTCATTCTCGAAGAAGTGCATATCTTACCCGGATCTTCGTTGATAATGGACCAAAACAATACACACAATTCGCTTTAAATATAAGAAGTCGAGTAGGTGGATTAGTCCGAGTAGAAAGAAAAAAAAATTGAACTAAAAATATTTTTCGAAAATATTTATTTTCCAGGAGAGAGGTATATAAGATATCCCGACACAACGGCATTTTGATACAATTGGAAACAAAAAAAAATTTCTAAGGAATCAAAAAAATGGAAAAATTGGATCTATGTCCAACGGATCACACCTACCAAGAAAAAGTATTTTGTTTTGGTTCGACCCGTAGTCACATATGAAATAGCTGATGGCATAAATTTAGCAACACTTTTTCCTCAAAATGAAAAAAATTGGATCTATCTGTTAAGCCCGTAATAAAAAATTGGTGGCTGCTAATTATTACCTTAAAACAGTTAGACAAGTAATTTAGGATTAAGGTGGTTAAAATCACGCCTTCACCCTTAGCCTTTGATCTCAAACGTCTGCTAGCTCGTAGTCATTTATCTATCAACATGGTGGCACTGATCTAACAATTATTTATCCTCGAGATATATTATATTGATGTATCGAGGACTAGAAGATTTCACACCAAGAAGATTTCACACGACACCAGATAAAAGATTGCAACAATGATATATAATTTAGTTGTTTAGAAATTGCAAATTGACTTGAATACTTTATATATGAATTCAGATGAAAATATGAGCCAACATAAAACTTGATATGAGTAAATATATAGGACAGAGAACATTTTTTATAGATTCAAAGAAAATTTCACTGAAAGAAAAAACGATTTTAATGCAAAATACTCATAATTTTCCAATCAGTATTCTCATTTTAAGTACTTCTAATTTAAAAAATATTTAAATTATCCCTCGATAATTTGGTCGTAGATGAAGACTCGAGGAACATAAGCTGAGCTAGCAATTTTGTTTTGAGATCAGCAGACGTCAAAAGTACTTGGAACAACGGAGAGAATAAAATCGAAGGCAGAGAACAATGGAGGAAGAAGCATACGAGAGGAGGGGATCAGTATGTTGCATGGAATGGTCAACGTCCTTCACAGCTGCATTCGCAGCTGAAGCACGGTCGCCGGTGCTCGCCCCCACGCTTCAACTTGCTCGCCTCGTACTTGCCCGCCAAATCGTCGAACACGTAGCCGGCACCGACGCCGACGGCCAAGTCGATGGTGTAGTGGCCTCTCGAGGCGAGCAGCCTCACGCTCTGGAGCAGGTTGAGGGCATCGAAGACCCGGGCCATGCTCCACCTCCTCGTCCTTCTCATGTCCAAGGATGCGATCACGGCCCCTGCGACATGGCCGGAGAAGAAGAGGAAGAAGGACACGTTGCCCACGGGGAAATCCACTCCTGAACCCTGAAAACCCTGCACCAGGGATCGAGACCCCGCATAAGCTGGACCAGCAGAGACCGAGAAAGCCGAGGGGGGAGCGACCAAGAAGAAGAAGAAGAAGAAGAAGAAGCGTACCTGAGGCAACGGGAGCTGGGTGGAGCAGCCGAGAATCCCCCTGCAAGTGAACATGAAGAGAGCCGCGATGGTCGGACGTGGCCTCCCCTCCACCAGGAAGGTCCACACTATATACACGATCTGCATACCCACGAAGACCTGAGAAAAATATACGACCAATCTCCATGAAACCATCAACCACGACAAATCCAAGAAGGCATACCTCTCCTACTCCGCCCCTGACATGATGGCCTGATCTATTTAATTAATAAGTAAGGAGGAAACTAAATCCACCACTGTCAGATATTGACATGTTAAGCTCGATTGAATTTTCCATGATGAAACGAACACGATCGAATCGTTGATACGATACATCTACCACAACTTGTGATCATATGATGTTGAAACCAATTAGCCATTGACGATATGATACGAGCAATTACCAAGATGCTACAGAAGCCACGTATTTCATACGTTTCATCTGGACCAAATCTAAACTTAGTAATGTATAATGAGGCCAATTGACCGTTCATCTGATTCTAGATCTAATTCCATGAAAAAGCATGGGAAGAACCAACATGGCAGATTAAGATTGGGTGAAATTGTAGAGTAGAGATGGATACCGTGTGGAGTTTGCAAGCGATTTCCAGAATATGGATTTAGTGTGCAAAAAATTGGGAGCAGAAGAGAAGAAAAGATACATGAAAGAAGGGGACACGTTATCAGACTCACAGTGTTGAGGGCAGCGAGCAGGGTGTTGAGGGCGGGCGCGGTGGCCAGCGCGCGGTTGAGAGGCTTGGTGGCGATGAACCCCAAATCCAGAGGCGGGGAAGTCGAGGGAACCATCGGGATGGTGTACTCGACGCCCATGAAGAACAAGAGCGAGAACGCGAAGGCGCAAAGCAGGGGGTGGCGCCTGGCCACCCCTGCCGGGCCGTCGAGCGACCATCCGGCGAAGGACGGCCCCTGGGGTGGCAGCAGCGGCACCGGAGGCGGCGAAGGCGTCCCCATTCTGTTGCCGTCCTTCACGCCGGGAGATGAAGGTAGTGGTGGTGGCCGCCGAGGGTCGATTTCGCTGCCGTGGTCATGGTTGGCGATGCCCAGAGTCACCCTAGTTCCTTCCGCGGCCTTCCTCTGCACACAGAGATGGGTGGTGCTCCCGCCGTTCTCGGCCGTCATGGTTGGACATGGCGGTCGCGATCCGCCGCTGCTGTCAGATTTATAAGGATGTGGCACGAAGAGGGTCGGATCTCTCAAGGCTGGGGGACGGCAAGCATGTGGGGAGCGTGGTGGATTGGTAGGGCATGCGTGCGAGCTTTGGATCGGTCGCGGATACTAAAGAAACCAAAGGGAAAGCGAGGGGTGGGGTCGGGTTAGTAAACAGGCGACCAGTGGGCGAGCCAGTGGAAGGGGAGCGAAGGCCGTAACGGGGGTCTAACGGTTCAAAAGGAGCTCGCAGAGGAATGCAGAACGGCGTGCCGTGCGTTACCCTTTACCCGTTCCGAATCGCATTCAATTCTCGCCTACCAGCCACGACCAAGTCGTTCAACAATCCTTTAGCCGGCCGTTGTTTCGGACGCAACAACCTCGCCCGTACGAGACGGTATCACCACGCAGAGATCCACCGCTCCAACGTGGCGGGACGCACACTGCTAACAAAACGCCGACCATAACGCCAAGGGACGAGCTGTGGTCGTGGGGTGAGGGAGTGATTGGTCGAGGGCGGATTAGGAATCCACTGGATCCGCTCCAGCCATGTACAGCCAATAGAAAAGCTCCGATTCTGATACATTCCTTCCCCTCCGGCAAGGATAAGATAAACTCCAGAGCAAAGGGTGTCCAACTGTTTCATAGTTCAACTTATTAGCTTCATCATGCGCTCACTATAATCAAAGCACTTAATACAATATCTAATTTATGAACTATTGTTTACAGACCTACTGTGGTTTCTAATATAATAACAAATAGAGATCATCTCATTGGCACTAACTATAACACAAATTATCTACTTTCTAAAAATATGCATGAATTCTCAAAAAAAAAAACATAAAAAGAGTTGGAAATAAATTAGAAATTAGCATTTGAAGTCATTTCATGGTGAATAAGCGATGAGGAAAAGCGACAACCACGTCATACCTCATACGCCAAAGGAGAAGTAAAGCAGAATTCACGCATCAACAATGATCTGGTAGTCGACCAAAGTTGAAAAAAGAACTCCGAATCTCTTCAGATCATGACTGATGTCAAAATCAACCTGGGTTCAAACAGATGCCAAAAGAGAGGAAGAAATGCTTTAGAGAAATAAAAAGGATCATCTGTCCATTATACGAAAAGAATCAAATTAGATTTGTCCTAATCCAGCATAACAAATAACAAATAGGATACAAATTACACCTGATCATAACTTTATATTCCTAATACATAATTACTATGCAAAAAATAAGTTGCTTCAGTTTTGCATGCAAGTGGCACAACAAAAATCTTTATTTCCAACACTGTTTTTGAAGGAAAAAAAAAAGCCATTATGCTGTTATGTTGTTTTCTGAATTTACGTCGAAGCCAAGCACATTCAGCGGTAGTCTGCAACAGTTGCTCAGATCTGGTTAATTGTAGTCATTACATGCTATGGAATAGGCACTGAAGCTTTAACCCACCTGTAGAAAGCCATTAAACACAGTTATATTGTGGTCCAATAACCTTAAGTATGCTGGTTTTCAGATCCAAACTTGAGTTGCAGGGCTGTAATGTCAATCAAAGTGAAAGTTGGACATGAATACAAAGGACAAAACAATGACACCGTCAGCTCTGGGTGGGTTTAAGCTAAACCACAGAATGATATCTTCAGTGCCATTAAGCATTCTGCAAACTGATGGTGATTGAGTCATTGTAGGCGTAAGTGGTGGTTCAGAAGAAGCAATTAAAGGTGTGGGAACAGGAAAAGTGAAGGCAAAGACTTCATTAGAAGTTTATTCAGTGGTGCTGGAACTGGAAGCTTTGTGGGAACTCACATCTTGAGTATACACAGAAGAATGAGGCAAGCACTTGGATATATGAGGCGCAGTAGTTTTGACTTAACCTAATATGTTCGGATTTCCTGCTCTGTGGAGTCATGAATGGTAGAATATCATGGCAGTACTACCTTACAAGGTGAAATTGATAGATTAAGGATATGCTTAGAAACAAAGAAGCACAGCCTTTCTGACATACTAGTATTTAAATCAGCTACTTCCAACTCTTCACAAGAACATAATAACTTGAGCTACAAAAATACTACAGGAAAAAAGAAATAAATATCCGATTCAGTAATAGTTAACACAAATGAATGCTTCTCGCAAACTGCATCAAGGATAGGCTGAACATTGGGCATACAAAAAATTGATATGTGCTACACCTGTCTTAACGGAAAAGGATAAAGAGTAAAGTTTTCATTTCTATACATGAACAACAGGACCTGTGAAAAAGTGAGATCCCCAGTTTTTTGTAAGCACAAAAATTGAAATCAGATAAGAACTTAGGAATTCGAAGGCTTTCTCAGATGAAATTTGGTATCACAGAAAAGCCTGGAGAGAAATTCTTGAAGCGAAGTTGTACAAAGGAAAAAGCATTTCGTTCTCAGGATTCAACATAATACAATGTAAACTTAACCAGCCATATGTGTGGTTCACACTAAATCATTTGAAAAGGAAAAATATATTGTCCTTCTGAACTCTGAAGAATGTATAACAATGACTACAAAATTGGAAAAAACTTAATAAAAATAGGTAAAACACATAGTCCTAATGGTCATACCTAAAATATGTTCAAGTACGAGATTATGCAATTATTAAGAGATCATTTGGCTGCAAGCATCAAGCATTCAGTACAAGACCACCAGATCCCATGTATAGTGGAGTGATAACAGTATTAGCAACAAAACATTGCAATTTAGCTAAAGAACAATCATGGTGATGATAAAGAGAATGAGTCATAATTCATATCAATTGGAACCATACGTGGGCCACATATGTGCAACCAGCATAAGTAGCCACATTCTGCAGATGCAGCTACCGGATGTAATTGAGTTGCACGTCTTGGGTGAGGCAGTCAAGTCCCTGTCTATTCAAATGAAGGTGCTTACACCTACCATATCTTGGAGATTGGGGATTCATCAATGCATGAGAAAAATGAAAAAGAGCACCTTGCTTGAGGCAAGCATGCCCAACAGACCCAATCTCTGGAGAGACAAATCATAACTTGGTCAACCTTTTGATGTAACACCCCAAATCCTAGTCCTGCATCAAAAGTAGGTTGAGACATGAATTAGTTGATAAGAGTGATGAGTTTACTATGGCTAAACTGGATTGGGTATTTTGAGGATTAAACATTTTTGAGTTAGTGATTCAAAGAAAGCTAATGGACCAATTATCCTATTGGGCTCAATCGTGACAAATGATACCAAACCAACCTAGTATTGTATATGGTAAGGGGCTCGGATGGACAGCTCCAAAGTACACATCATGACATAGAGCCGCCATGGGTTAGGTCTCACATGCCCTATCAAAGGTCTAATTATTCTTTCTCAAAAATCACCCTCGAGCTGGATGACAAATTTTCCAAAGCATTTGAAGTTGCTGATGACATAAATTATAGACAAACAAGATTTGAGGTGCTAAAACCTGTGGCAGGAGTTGATCCATTGTACTTTTCAGGGACATAATAAATGCACATATTGAAGGAAATGAATCATCTAAACATCTGTCAGATTTTTAAGCAAAAGAGGAAGCATGATAAGCTTAGAAGACAAAGTACATAAACCTGGAATACAAAAAGTTTTACCTCAATGCTCAATGTAGGAACCTCAAATAGATTCAATTGCAACGACTGTGTTCTCGATGCCGAGATGACAAAATCCGTGAGCAAATGAAAACTCTTCTTCGTTCTTCCTCCAGACATGGATTAAGTGGCCTGATTTTGTAGGTCTTTGTGAAGCCTTTCCCAAGATAGAGCTGATTTGTAATAATGGTGTGGGTCTATCTTCAGTAAGAATCTATAAGACAGGATGCCGATACAAAAAGGAAATACCCAGAACCTGGTTTGTACGAAGACGATGTCAAATGTCCAGGCATCGCGCAGGGGCATGCGATGCGACCAATAACCCTAGGAAAGAAATGAATCATACCGGGGAGGGATTCGGAGGGTGGAGGGTAGTCTTGCTTGACGCAGGCGCCGATTCCCACCAACTCTGCCGCTGCCTAACTCCTCCTCCTCCTCCTCCTCTCCTTTGCTCCTGTCCATCGCGTCCAAGATAGCACCCGACGACGCCCTCCGCTTCCCTCTCGCCCCCACTATGCAAACCCTACTCTCAGCCTACGCGATCGATCGAGCCGAGCGATTTGTGATCCACAAACGGAGGCCAGCCCTCTATTTTACGAAATTTGCGCGGTAAAACCAATCGTAATGCATCTTTCCAAGCAAAATCATTATATGTGAAGACAAGCTAAGGGTGAATTCTGCATCACTTAAAAAGTAAGACCTCAATGGAAATGTTGTGTTCATGTGTTACACCTATGATTAGTTGTCTTTATATATCAGTATTTATATATTTTTAAAAATTATATTAAAACTTTTATATTTATAAAAATAAAAAAAATTAATCCTATTATTATACAAAATCTTTTTTTCTTAATTTTTAATATTATAAAATTATTTTTTTATCCAGAAATCTCAATATTTTACTTTCGTAAATATAAGAATCTCAATATAATTTTTAAAAATATAAATATCGATACACTAAATATAATTAATTACTGAGGATAATTTATAATTAATGCATTATCATCTTTATTTCTATAGTAAACACTTGAAATGCCTTGGGAATTTTAAAGATAGAAATTCTTTTTCACTACTAACACTTTAAGTAATAAAAATCGAGACAAATGAGTGAGATATTCTTTAATGAAATTATTTTAGTTCAAATAATACAATCTTATCCAAAAAATATAAAATATATAAATTTTGAAAAATAATAAAAATTATGTCATTATTGTGCAATAAGATATGTTAATAAACAAAAAAGAAGTTTGCATCCCAAAATCTACGAGAGCAATTAGTTCTGTGTTGGTAAGCTTATAGCATTGAAATTGGTTATTATAAGAATAAAAAGTCATATGACAATTTTTATGATAAAAGCCATATCAAGGATATTATTGTAGAGATTTCTAAAAATATACTTTTAAGAACCAAATAATTGAATAAGATATGAATCGTAAACTTTTATTATATATATATATATATATTTTTTTTTTTAAGGAGCTTCGCTATATTGAGATCATACGAGGAATTATTGATGTGACCCATAGTTTTATGAGGAATTATCTGTTTTGGACGATGGGT